TCTTCAAAATATCTTCTTTTGTGTTCAGCAGAAGAAAGAAACTCAGACAGGTTTGGAACAACTTGAGGGTGAGTAAATGATGAGAGCATTTTTATTTCTGGGTGAACTATCCCTTTTAGAAAAATTTGTTTTTTTCTACTCTCATAACATATGATTGCTGGAAAAAAAAACGTTTTTATTGAACATTGATGGAGCAACACATTTTATAGGAAAATAAATTATAAAAGTTGCTTTGTGTTAAAAAAAAAAAATCTCACAAAGATGGTAAAGGGGACATTTGTTATAGAAGCTTAATTTAGCCACAGAATAAAACTATTAGAAAATGTAATTGCTATGTTTATCTCAAAATTCTGAGAATAAAATGTCAAATAATTTTTCTTGAAATTTCAAGTTCATATCTCACAATTCTGATTTTTTTTCTCAGAATTTTGAGTTCACATCTAACAATAACAATTTGCAATTCTGAGAAAAAAATTTTGATTTGTGAGATCAGAACTCACTATTGCGAGAAAAAAAAATTAAGATGAAAAGTTGTAGTTAGCTTTTTTATATTTTTATTCCTTGGCTGAAATATGCTTCCACACTTAGATAAAGTGTTTGGCATAATATCTGGATAAAATAAAGATAATAGTTAATAGTTACAAGTTTTTATTACATTTTTTTTTATTATTATTTTAAAAGATTCTGAAAGCTTTGAAGAAGATCCCATAATAATTTCTTATGTCTGTTACAATAGTAACAATAAATATGAGATTAATTATAAAATATAAAAAAATTATCAATTTAGCAGAGAATCAGCTTTGCATTGCTGTCCATGATTGTGTCAGGGATCAGCCAGATTTCCAGATTTCCATGGAAACAAGGAAAGTGCTGTGGTAAGTTTTTGTGATTATCTGGTGGTTTAGAGGAGAATAAAATCAAATGCACCTTTTACCCCAATACACTTTCAGTCCTGTTGGAGTCTACCTATGGATTTCTCCTTGTGGAGTTTGAACCAGCAGCTATTCGGTTACCAGCCCTAAGCTTTAACCATTATGCTACAGCACGCTATCTCATTACTATGCACAAAAACTGGCATAACTTTATTTTCTTTATTATGACCTGAAAATGACACCTACTTCTTCATTATATTCGAACATTTAAAGTCTAAATTTAATGATATCTTACTCCAGCCAATCAGAGGTGCCAGACTCCAGGCCAGTGAGTAGATCCAGATGCAGAGGATGGCCAGAGAGGTTCTGCGCTTGGAGTTCCACTGGATGGTCTGCAGCGGTTTGGTGATGACCACGTATCGATCGATAGAGATGGCCAACAGGTTTATCATCGAGGTGATGCCAAACAGCGCGCCACAGAATGCATATATTTTACATCCTGAAGGTACAAAGAGAATATTTAGAGAATACAGTGTTTATAGTCAATTTTCCAAAGGTTACTATATAATATAACATACATTTAAGAATGAAAATTTTGATAATGATAAAAGTCTTAATATGATTTATTTACGTGACTTTAATTTTCAAAATAAAGATAATGTTACCCAGTTCCCCAAACATCCACTCCTTAAACAGGCAGTTGATGAAGAACATTGGAGATTGTGTGATGGCCATGAGGAAATCACTGACCGCCAGGTTCACTATGAAATAATTTGGCAGGCTCCGCAACTTTTTATTACTGCACAAAAATATTAAGATCAAGTTATATTCATTCCATTGTTAAAACAGAAAGAGTACAATTTATGAACAATGAATTTCAGGTTTTGCTTCTATTTATATGACTTTCTTTTTCCTGCAAAAGACAAAAGATATTTAGAAGATATTTTTGTTGGTAACCAAACAGTTTCCAATTGACTCCCATTATATGGACAAAAAGTACAGTGGGAGTCAATGTGAACTGAAACTATTTAGTTACCCAAAAATATCATCAAATTTTTTTTTTGATGAACTATCCTATAAAAGCTTGTTTCCACTATTACATTCAAATTCAGATTTTTTTTTCCCCCTCAAAATTGTGAGTTTACAACTTTTTTTTTTCTGCCAGGGAATTAAAAAAAGGTTTTGTGACTTTTTGCAACTTTTCATCTCACATTGTAACGGGGCTGACGAGACGTGAGACGTGTGGATCCATCTGCACGCTTTTATTAAAGAGACGTGGTAAACAGGCAGGGTCAAACAATGGCAAACAGGTATATGGCGGGCAAAACACAAGAATAGTCCTAGGGCTAGCGTATGTCACCGATCGGCAGACAGAATCACAGGGGCGAGACGAGAGGGAGAAATCCAGGAAAACAGGCAAAGATCAGAAACCGCAAAAACAGGCAAGGCAAAACAAGGAAAACACGGAGACTCGGAAAGGGGTACAGGCTAAACAATACTCAGCCGAGAAAGGTGGTTAGAGTGGGAGTTATATAGTGAGTGAGGTGATAAGAAACAGCTGTGTGCAATGAGTGCAATCAGTGCAGTGTGCAAACCGTGCAATGAATGATGGGATATGTAGTCCGGGGTGCTATGCAACAGTTTGTGTTGTGCGAGAGTCAATGTAATGGAAAGGGTGACCTCTGGTGGTGAATAAACGGAAGTCCATGGACCGAATTCGTGACACACATGACTTTTTTTTCTCGAAGTTATACATCTCACTATTCTGACTTTTTTTCTCTGAATTATGAGTTTACATCTCACGATTCTGTCTTTTTGTTTATGCCACAGAATAAAAAATAAAAAGGCAATTCCAACTTTTTCTCTCACAATTCTGAATTGATATAAAAAGTGAGAATTGTGAGATGTAAACTCTGAATTGTGAGAAAAATGCCAGAATTTTGAGACACAAAGTTGCAGTTACCGTTTTATTCTATTTTTTTCTCAAGGTAGAAACAAGCTTCCATAACTATCCTTTCAATTGCATTTAAATGCAAATATATAGATTGTATTACACATAGAACGATTATATCCCTGCTAATCTTTGTTAACTTGTTTCATTGTAAATGCATAAAATGTAGGTGAGAAGCAAATAAGAGTTATTTGTCAAAGCTGATATCAAACAGATCAAATGTCCCCATTGCAGTTCTTTCCACTGATGTACTGCCGTTCTAGGGATTCCCAACATTCCTGGAATAGCAGTCAATTCCTTCCACTCTACAGAAGCCCATGATTTCAATAATTGCATCCATTTATGGAAATGCATCAACCTTGTTATTTATATCTCATTCACAATATTCACAATTTCATTGGCCTAAAACTGGCCTATTTTGAATGCAAAGGAAAAACAATTATGGAAAATGAGGATTAGGGCCTCCAGTGACCTGCAGGGTTTTCTGTGTGAGTAACATTAATCTGAGCAAATGGGGAGAGTAAAAAAGGAAAGAGGAGCTTTTTACTAGTATTTGACTGCCTGCTCTAGTTTTACCGCACTGACCCAATTTACTAAAACAATTAGTCAATAACATATTCGAGACTTGCAAGGATTATCCCACAGCTTTAGAAATGAAACAAGGCTATTTCAGATTTCTAAATAAATGAAAGAATGTCTACCCCAACAAAACAGAACTAGATAAGGTAACAAGGAAATAATGCTGGAGAGTGTTCATAAGATTATTTTATTAAATATTATTTAAAATTGTATTTAATATATTAATATTTTAAATATTATTTTAATACTATTAAATATATTATATATAGTTTTTTTTTTACATTGTAGCATTTTAATGTAATTAATCCAAATTTAAAGCAATAATTATGTGAATATATCATTAACAAATATTAGCAATGCATACCAGATCTATACTTTAAATATTTTTTTAAAGTTGACATTGTGACATATCAACTATCTACTGAAAATAAAACTGATCTACTCACATTTTAAACAGCATTTTGCGAAATCTTTCGTAATTATAATGCATGCAGCTTTAATTACCTCATATTAATATATTTGCACTTTTTACAAGACTGAATGTATAAGTGAAGCCAAAAGGTGATTAACCCCTTAGCTGTCAAAGATCGGCGAAACATTGTTGCAGTGACAGAAATTTAGTAATTTAGGAGTGCAAAATAATAAATCCGTATACGTCATATTTGGAATAGAAATTCACCACGCATTCATATTCAGTCACGTCTGCAGCGGTTTATTTGTGTTCACATAGCTTCACTGAACAGAGGGAGAACAATAGAATCATGAATGGGGCAGTTTGCCGGGCCAGACATGAGGCGACAGCATGCAGGAGAGCTTACAGAGGGCCATAAATCAATTTTATTAGCCTTTTATTAGCCTTCTCTAAAAACACACATGACATGGTCTTAGAAAATGTTTCAGAAAATTCACAGCTTTAGAGATTATGTCCTGAAATTTGAAATGAATCATTAGTAGACTTGTGGCTTTAGCTTCGTTGTGTTTCTAAAAGCATTTACCACAGCAAAATGTTTTTTTATACATTTAAAAAATTCGTATTTTTATATAATTTTTTTATATTTTTATGTTTGAGCTAATATATCTCTATAATCATAACAGTCTGAGTAATTCTGATTTTTGAACAGTAAACTTTAAAGTGTCAGCTTTGTGAACATATGTTGATTATGTATCTAGTCAGAAAGACTCATGAGCAGCAACCTTTTTATTTTGGGTATTTCATTTGTGTCTCCATGCCGAAAATGGGGGGTGACAGCAAAGGGGTTCAAATTGCGAAAGTACAAACATTTTCATTTTAAACTAATTATATCTTACACCATATACAGTTTTTCTGCTTTACACTTTAAGCATGAACTACTCAAATATACATGAAAGTTTATGAATCAAAGTTCTATTAAGCATTGTATAATTTAATAATGTTTGATAATTAATTCAAGTGCTGACTAATAAAACACCAAACTTTCTGAGATAAGCTAAGAGATTTGGTTTCAGTTCTTCAACTCAACAAACAACTAAGCGTTCATACCTGTAGAAGGCGAACATGACCAAAGCGTTGCCCGTGACTCCTAAAGTGCCGATGATGAGGATGAGGAAGGCGATGATGTAATGCACATGATCCGGGATGTCCAGTCTTTTGTAGAGCTGCCGTTGAGGCTCCATCACCAAACTGAAGATACAGCAACAAACACTGAAGAACGACACTTCAACAAACCAAACCTGAGCACAGACTCAGTCATGGTCTCTGTCTTCTGTTTCCTCTCAGTCTGTCTCTGCTCAGAGTAAGGGAGAGTTTAGTTAAACACTATCAGTAATGGACACACTGCGACCTACTTGTCATGTCACATGACACACCCCTCGCTCCAGCATCTGTGCCACCCAAGCTTTTGTGTGTCTTAAGAGCGATCCCACGCTCATCTCACACACAAGCAGCAGGTTATATGAAAAGTGAACAGTTGGTGGTTATTTAACATTCTCTCCTCTTTGAACATGACTAGGAGAAGAGAAGAACCAGATGAGATGAGACTAAAGTTGAAATGAGAGCGTGTGTCAGATAGATTACAGTGCTTTCCGTCTTTCATCACTAATGTTTTCATCAGGTCTGTAATGGATGTGAGGGTCAGAGAGAGATTCAGAATGAGAGAGAGCGAATGGGTGTTTGAACATGTACAGCTGCAGTGATTTAAGTTCCTCTGTGCTCTTCAGAAATGTCACAGAGCAACCTGAACACAGCCAAATGTACCAAGTGTTATTTTAGCATTCTATTACAGTATTTCCTAATATTTTTATATTTTCAGTAATCTTGTTATGTGCTTTTGTCATTTGTATTAGTTATTTTATAATTCTATTTCACTTTTCATTTTAGTACATCAAGTTAAACTTATTTCGGTTGCTATAAAAATAGTTTTTCGTCTCAGTTAACATAAAAAGAATGCAATCTACAGTGCATTTGTAAATAGGCTTGTGTTTTCACCACTCAAAAATACAAAACAAAAAAATAATATATTAAATAAATAATAATAAGCTTGACTTCATATATTTTATTTGACAAATTCAAAGCTTTGCTAAAAACATTAGCAGATTCTTTTTTATATATAATTCTATTTAGCTTTAATTAATTTTTTATTTCAGTTTTCATTTCTAGTTTACTTTTTCATCTAATATTAATATTTTATTTCAGCTTTATTTCAATCTCAGAACACGTTTTTTTTTAATAGTTTTAGTTAGCAACACTGCAATCCACAATGCATTTCTGAACAAGCTTCAGTCTTTCATCCATATCTGAAAATGCAAAATCCAACCCGATCTCATGAGAAAACATATGAATTTGTATGATATAAGTCATACAAAAACATAAAATTTTTGGAAAACACTGTAAGCAAGAAGGTCCACCACTAAACTTAACTGTCAGTGGTGAGTACGAAGATTTTACAAAAATATACAAATAAAAGAATTTGCCAAATTTAAAAATATTGGCAAAATATTGGCAAAAGTTGTCAAAAACACATTTTAAATGGTGGTTTACACTCACTTTGAGTAAATTCACTGTCCTCAGGGATAGTATACATACACTGTAGCTTTATACTTTTTTACTATTTATTCATAGTCAAGCATCACTTTTACTACTTGAACTTAGTATTAGTGATTTGAACTTACTTATCAACCATTTATGAAGTCTGTTCTATAGCATGCAGTGTGTTGCTGCATCCAAAATCACATAATTCCCTACTGCACACTGTAAAAAATTACCGTGAATTTAATGGTAATAGACTGTAAAAATGCTACAGTAAAAACCAGTTAAATGGTTAACGGTAAATTCCCCTACTATATACAGTGAAAAAAATGTATTGGACATTACGTGTAATTTTACGGTAGTATACCGTTTTTGGAAGTGAAAAATACCGTATAATTTACAGTGAATAACCATAAATTGACATTCCCAGAATTCCCTGTATTACATTTAAAATTTGATGTTTTTTTGTTGAAATAACTGTTTCTTCGTTTTTTTCTTATCAGTTTTGTATATTAGGGTTGGCTGTTGCACCTAATGTTGTTAAATGAATGTTTATTGCATTATTTCAGTTTCATGTGTGTTACCGTGATGGTGTTTGGTGTTTATGTGAATGAAATTGTGCACCTTCTATACATGTTATTATTTAAAAGTTGCTTGTGATGGGCTTTGGTTCATCATGTGACTTTCTCATCACCACCTGCATTTGGTGGTTATCAGTGTATTATAAAGGTACAAAACAGATTTCAGTACTTTAATAGGTTGGTATATTAACATTACATCAGTTAATAAAATTACAGTTTTTAACCGTAAATTGAAGTTAAAACCTAAAATGTTGCTACCGTATTTTTACGGTAAAATTCTGGCAACCACAGCTGCCGTTTTTTTACCGTAAATTTTACGGAATTTGTTTTACAGTGCAGGCAAAAAAAAAACTTTGTAAAAAAAAAAAAAAACAGTATGTCAAATTCAAAGTATTCATAAGAAAGTTTCAGGTAACTTACTACTTCCAGTGAGCTTGATTTTATTGTCTGCTGTTTACTGTTGCACATTTGGCAAATGCAAAGCTTTGCTATAACATTAGCAGAAAAGACACTTTCGACTGTGACCACCTTGTTTTATCCTACAAAAACCAGTGAATAAAAAAGCTTAATGGTTCGTCCTAAGAGACCTTGTGTGTCTGTCCTCATGATCTCTCAATGCTTTAGCACTGTAATCCAGGCATCACTTCTGTTCTCTCCACGGCAGTCAACGGCTGCTGCATGTGGGATTATATATCTCTCCATAATCCTACATTTTAGCTAAAACCTCACTGACAATAACAGCATTACTCTAATTCAGCCTATATGACAAGCGTGCTCACAGTAACACAACAGCCTTCAGCAGATTACATTATAGATCAAGGAATCAATCTAACTAACCTGGAACATAAGAGGTTCTCACCCCTAATCTGAGAGATGAGGTCTGCAGGAGCATAACTCACATAATTTAGAAGTAAAGGTGATTAATAGAGAACGGAGTTTACACCGTTCAAAAGTTTGGGGTCTGTAAGACTTTTTTTTTTAAAAAGGCTCTCTTTTATTCAGCAAGGATGCATTCAATTGATCGAAAGTGACAGTAAAGACATTTACAATGTTTAACAAAAATGTCTAATAAATGCTGCTATTTTAAACTTTCTATTCATCAAAGATACCTGGGGAAAAAAGTATCATGGTTTCCACAAAAATATTCGGCACAACTGTTTTCAACAGTGATAATGATCATAAATGTTTCTTGAGCAGCAGATCAGCATATTAGAATGATTTCTGAAGGATCATGTGACACTGAAAATTCAGCTTTGATCACAGGAATAAATTGCATTTTAAAATATATTCAAATAGAGATCAGTGCTTTTAAATTGTAATAATATTTCACAATATTGCTGTTTTTTTTACTATATTTTTAAGCATATAAATGCAGCCTTGGTAAACAAGAGACTTATTTTAAAAACTTACTGACCTAAGTAAAAGAACAGCAGTGTGTGTGTGTGTGTGTGTGTGTGTGTGTCCTATAGATTTACATTGATGTAGAGACCAAGAGACTTGCGGGAAATATCTTTTACATAGCAACCACATAGAACACCTTAACAACTGCATAGCAACACCCTAGCAACCACCCAAAACATTCTCAACTCAATATAACGATTAGACTTTCGTTCAGAAAAGTGGAGAGATTTGGTGATCCTGGATCCAGCGTGACACACAGAAACAGTCTGACATTTCTATAGGACAGCTGTATGCGTATAGGCCAACATAAGCCTCTTTAGCCTGTCTTGAACAAATCATCCCTCTGTACTGTAGCATTGTGCATTAATGTAACAATGGTATGAAATTAAATGTCTGTTTAATCAAGAGAATGTTTTGCAATATCATGCACAAATAACATTACATCATATAAATACTATGAATGTTAGGTTGAAATGTGATTTCAACCCATGCAAAAGACAGAAGCAGATAGAGGAAAGTGACAAATCGAGTCTAAGGTGCAAAAATAAATCATTATTTAGAAAATCTGCCAATTGCATACAGAAAATAAGCTTTCACTTGGATTGTCATTTACGTAGTCAATTTGCAATGAAATCACAATCTTTGTTTCTTTTTTCTCGGTCTTCAGGGATAGACAGATGTTCTTGGAAAGCATTACGTTTGCATGGAAATAAATTACGAGTTCGTAAATTCTCTTGACTCCACGTGACTGATGATATATTCTCCAGTGAAATAAGATAACGTGTAATTTACCAAGGCTTTAAACTTTGCTATCAGAGTCATGTCGCATCTTAATCTTTTGTTGTCTTGGGATTACTCTTATTTTAGGCCAAAATGAATGGTCATGTAATTTTTTTATCTGGAATGAATAGTTTTGATTACTTGCTGATCCCCTGTTGGGCTTAAACGTCAGCTTCATGTGGAGAAATGTGTCAACCTGGACAGAGAAAAGAAGGGAAAAAAGGGTATTTTAGGGCATTAACACATGGGCACATTGAATATCAAAGAACAGGTGTGTCATGATTACCTGAAACTGATATCAATTCAGCAGCACTTTTGTCGCTTGCTTGTTTGACAATTCTCATTTATCAGCCAGAATGCTTTCTGTCCAAGATCACATTTGGGTTTATGCGACAGAGGATGCCTTGGATATTACAAAAATTTGCCTGTAATCAAATAGCCTACATCAAAATCTACTGTGACAATAGACAGTTTAATGTAAGATACACTCTAAAAAATGCTGGGTTAAAAAGGGACAAACCTAGTTATTGGGTTGTTTTGACCCAGCGGTTGGGTTGTTTTACTGGGTCAAAACAACCCAATAGTTGGCTTTGTCCCTTTTTAACCCAGCATTTTTTAGAGTGTACAGTCAAATTCCAAATGTATGACATTGTTTCCATCCACCTATTTGTATGCGCATAAATTCTAAAAATGTGCATAAAAACGTATGCGCACAACTGAGTAGGATAAACTTTTTATCCGATAAGAAAAAATTCGCATAAACTACGATGGAAACACATTTACCGAATAAATTCCACCATGCACATTGAAAAAGTCATGTGACTTTGCGCTATGAGACGGGATAAATTGACTAATCAGGGGACCGATCTCGACTGATCTACAGGTGCATCTCAATAAATTAGAATGTCGTGGAAAAGTTCATTTATTTCAGTAATTAAACTCAACCGCGGGAAGTATAGGGGTGCTGGGGGTGCTGCAGTACCCCCTGGAGTGTCGCCCACGAAAAAA